ACGGTTCTTCTACACGTATACGACAAACATAGATATGGGTAATCATAAATATATCCTGATTATTTGGTGAAGGTTCGAGGTCCAAAAAGAAAAGCGGCAGTTTGATTTTTTCTGCAGATTGGATGTTCGTAACATTTCGAACTTTGAAACCGAGTTCTTCTACTTCTTTTTCTATTTCGTCTGGCGGGATGGAGGGATGAAGATTTCTTAACACAACTCTAAATGCTCGTTCCTCTTTTAATTGATAGGTGTGGAAGTCGCACTTTTGTGCTTTAAATATGTGTATTAGTTTTCTATAATCGTCGGAACAATGGTGCAGTCTGTTCTTGCCTGAAACTGGAAATAATTTTCCCCAAGAACTTCTTTTATGCTTTTATAAAATAAGGTAAAGTTAACTAGTTTTCGAACGAAGATCGGGGTAGGCTGTTTGCAGGTGTTATTTTGTGAGTTTGCATTCATAGTTGGTGTTATTTGTTTTGGTTGGTTTTGAATTTCGTCGTCGTCATCTACAGCGAGAACTCAAAATTTATTTGGTGATATAAAATTAGGAGTATGTGTTGGATGATTGGAGGATGAGGTAGAAGTTCTATTAACATTTGCCAGATCACTATTAACAGCTGACAATGATTGGCTATTTGACTCCATTTTTGAGTTTTCACGGCTCGCAGATCGTGATCTAATTTCGGATTGGTCTGTTATTTCTTCAACATGGTTACCAACATTTCGTTTTTTAGAGGAGGCAGAAGATTCTTCGTAGTACCAGGTCTTTTGCTTGGAGACATTTTTTTCCCCCACTGCAAACACTTTCTGGGTTTTTAATATTGCGACTAATTGTTTTCAGTACTTGAGGAGCCGGCAACAGCCGACATTGGCCAAGCAATGAATATAATATAAAAGGAACTCACCTGAATCAAATATTATGCTTGAACGCTCAAATTGACCGGGAGAGCAACCTTCAGCCGCTAGCGGCGACGAGAGGCCTGAAATATTTCTGATGTCTGGCTGAATCGTCTAAATTCGAGAGAGCACCTAATACACACTATAACTATACCAATCAGCTGGTAATGGTTATAGTCGTTATATTAATTACAACAAACATATTTTTAATATATACCAAATTAACCAAGATCAAAAATTCATTAGTTTTTATTTAAAATTTTTTTTAATGGTTTGGTAGAAAATTGATCAAAACACCGGAATACCATTTTTTGATGTAACGAATTTAACTAACAATTTATTATACGGTTTTGCTCATAAAATCTAACTACCAATTTATTTCATGGTTTTACTCGTACAATTAGAACGTAGCGTTAGAACAGGACACTCATATTTTTTGTAGTTTGTTTCAAACTATGTATACGTAATTTTGTCGTTATATTAATTGCAACATTCTTATTTTAACATAAACCAAATTAAACGAGGTCAATAATTCACGAGTTTTTATAATAATTATTTAATTATGATGGTTGGGGAGAAAATTTATCAAAACATTGGAATAACTTTATTTAAAACAATTAAATGTAACAAACATTTTATTACATGGTTGTGCTCATAAAATTTAACAAACAATTTGTTACATGGGTGTGGTCATAAAATTTAACTAACTATTTATTGCATAGTTTTGCTCAAAATAATGCATTAAATGGGCATCGGTGGCCGCAACGGTTTAGGCGTTGACACGGCCATCATCATTGTAAGGTAAAGGTCCAGGGTTCGAATCCAGGTGACCTGCATTTCAACACGACATACTTACAAATGGGCTTTATTTCAAAAACACCGGCACCCTGAGGGTTGATATAACCTCTGCGAACATCTTAAAAGAGTCAAATGACCGTACTAGAGACAAACTTTGTAAAAAAAAGTGGAACACAATTTTTTACGAAAATGTATATTAAAAAAACTTATTCAAATTGTTTTTAGAAATAAATAAAAAAAAGTGCATAGTTTACCATGCTAAAAAATTTACTCCTTATAAAAGTATTTTGATTTTTCAAACGAGATAACGCTTGACGAAAGTACTCCCCATTATGTAATATTAAATTGACCTTTACTGAAAATAAATAATTAATTATAAAATAAGTTAAACATTAAATAAATTCGTTTTCTTCCGTTATTTTTTTAAACTGTTTAAGCTCATTTGAGGGGGGCGATGGCCGTAACGGTTTAGGCGTTGACACGGTGCTGATCTCTGCAAGGTAAAGGTCGGGGTTTGATTCCAGCGGCCGGATTGGACCGGCGCTAGATACTAACACTTTTGCAATACTCGGATGTCGTGCGGGTTTAGTCGGATCCTTTATAAATTAAATAATTTTCTATCCGTTTTCATTACTATTTCTGTCTGATTTACCTTATTGCGCTAGTCCATCCATAGTCGGATCTTTTCTGGGGGTAAATTGTATATAATAAGAGTTGTTGTTAGCTTGTGTATTCATATGTATTTTCATGTTTAATTTGTTATGCTTGTAAATTACCAAGTTTTTGCATATGTACAAATTTTCTTTTGTTTTTTACATCTTGTAGTTTTTTACTTTAGTTACCAAGTAGTTTCAAACCCTTACAAATGGAGTTAATATGTAGCTCATTGCCGAAGCGTATTTTAGGTTTTTCATTTTTTTGTTTTGTACCAAAAATCAGGGATAAGCCTAATTAGAAAGATCAGAAAATACGTCCTTTACCAAGCTTGAAAGAAAATATTACCTTCATGGCAACTATGAAGCTATTATAAAACACAAGGTTAACAAATATAAACATATTAATATTAGTTAAAGAGTCTTGAAGCGGATATAATCCCTGAAAACTGTTTCCCAATCTTTTAAATTGATCTTATCCCGGATGTTTGATTTCAAAATTATAATATTAAAGGCTAAAATCAAATATATCGGACGAATGTTTATTTTCGTTTCTTTTTCAATATTGTCGATTATGTGAATGTACATTTTAAAATTTAAACAAATTACCTGTAACCTCTTTGTACTAGAGAGGCTTTGAAACCATAATTTAGTACATATTCTTTAATGCATCCTAATCGCCCCATACTTTTAAATACTTTCAAGTTCTAAACGTTTATCTTTTATATTTAGATTTAAGTACGGATACGGTTTCACCCTTTGACAAATTTGATACCCACTGTCCGGGTAATTTTTATTTCACTTCCCTTGAAATAAAATCCCTAACCTTTTGATCATCCCTGAATGAAACGAGAGACCAATAATTTAATTGGAATGCAAAATTTGTCGACCATCATAAAAACGGCAAGAAAAACTGAGATGTTAGAGAACAAGCGTTTCCAACGGAAAATGACGACTCATTATTTCTAAAAAAGGAGCCTCTTCCTTTTTCTCTTTCACACTGCGCAATAATGCTCAAGCCAAAGCGAGGAGAAACATTGAGATTTATTGCTGCGACCTCTCCTACTTGTTCTCCTTCTGATATTACTTTAATCACAACACACTCCAACTCCTTTTCGTTTCTGGCATAAATCAATTTTGGGTTTATTAACTGACATGACCCTTTAGCATTTCAAAATTCTTGTCCGAAAACCTGAATTTGTTTAATCATACTCCCGAATTTATATGGGCGTGGATAATAGTGTTTTTTTTTAAAACTTCAAAAATTTTGTTAATTTATCTTCTGCAATATATTTTTTTTTATAAATGAAATATAAACCTAAATTAGAAGTAGGTCCGCTGCCTATTTAACGGTTTAAATGAATAAGACCATGAAATAGGACCTCTGTAACAGTCATTAGCGTGTAAAACTCTCGACCCATAGACCGTTGTGTGTGGGTTCGATTTTTACGGTCGCCCCTGGTAATTTTTTTATGCTACCCTTCCCCCCATTCATCGTCAAATACATACGTCATTCTTGGCTAATATGATAATGTTCATTAGTCAAAAAAATAAAATTTGAATAAAAAAAAATATGTTTGTTTTTATTTTTCGTTCATTTTCTTTGTGTTATTTTTTTATAACATATTGTAAATTACTCTCGCTATGAACTTAAAAAAAAAAATAGATTCTTTTTATACTACTTACACCTTAGAACAGTGGTCGGCAACCTGCGGCCCTTTGCAACTTTTTGCGCGGCCCGCCAAAGCCCAATATAATTTTAGGAAAAATCAACAAACTTAGAGCGTAAGCGTGCCGAAATGTGCCCGGTGACAAAAATGCGCGCTAACAGAAGCAGTGGCAAACCTATTTTACTGCGCAAGTTTAATCCCCACTCCTCATAATAATATTTATACTCGTATATGATATAAAAGCACTATTTAAGTTACATTTGAATATGCGGCCCGCATAAAAAATTGTATTTTGAAAATGGCCCGCCGTCCGAAAAATGTTGCCGACCCCTGCCTTAGAATAAGGTAATTCATCAAAAATAAAACGTTATTAATTCGTAAACTCTTAAATCATACTAACCTTTGTTAAATTTGTATGCTTTCCAACAGTTTTTCACGGGGGAGAACATTTTCCCGCGGTTTATTTTATAATTCTGTGTTAAATTACACAAACAGTTTCATAAATTAATTCTTGTGCAAGATTAATCGCCTTGTGTCTGTTTTTGAAATTAATTAGACCATCTGGTAATGCTGATGGGGAGTGGCAATTCGTAGTGCAAACTTCATGCGTAACCCCAAAGGCTTTCTCAAACGCCAACATTCGCAATTACCTTCGCCTACGCTCGCTGGTTCCTGGATAGAAAACAGACCGACAATGAAAACCTAGAGATTGATTTCACCATCACCTAATAATGCTTACCATAAAGAAAGCCAGGCAGTAATAGCGAACGAGAGGAAACTATACAAAGGTAAAATACAAACTACCATTTGTTTATTTTCAATGTATTTACAATTCACAACAATTATAATAATTTTTATAATATTAAAACATCTATGGTTTCTTGTTTTCTCAAATTTCAGGTATGTCATTATAACTTTTTTAATTACACAATTTAAATACAATTATTTACAAGAATTATATTTCACAATTATTAATATTAACATAAGGTATCTAAAACATATTTTTTTTAAAGGTAAAACAAACAAAAATTCAAATTCGGTTTACCGATTTACAAACTTTGATACTTATATAAACACCAATATTTTTCTTAAATGTTGTACATCATTTGAGCAACGCAAAGTCATTCGAAAGAAACGGTTTGAATCTAAACGTAATTATAATTCTGTTTGTAAATATTTTGAGATCTCCTTTCAGTTGGGTAAGTCGTGAAATTTCCCTCATCGACCGACGTCTGTCTACTACCTAGTTTCCAGAACCAACGTCAAAAGTCCGATAAGGTAGACGTTGACTAACCAACATCTTGGACAACTTGACGGAGATGTAACTGAAACAACAAAAACAAATCAACGTAAGGCAACATCCTTAAAAGAATAAAACATACTAACAGGCGATTTACATCTTCATTTGTTAAATTTAATTTTAATTTCATTTCATTTTATAATAATAATAATAATTAAACAATCATTAACATCATAATTATCACAATACCAAATATATGCATACTGCCTCTTTTACGATGAATTTCAAAAGGCAGCTGCGTTTTATGACATTCAACTAAATTTCTGTGGCTATGTTACATTAGCTTATTCACTTTATTTTCTTTGTTGGCAGTACAGTTAGCGCGGAAAATTCGAGAAAAACCTGCTAACCCTTGTAATTCGGAGTTAAAATGATTAAATTGAATAGTTTTCGTGGTTCGCTTGACCAATTAATATCTTTCAATTAATTAAAGTTTTTAGTTGAGATAAAAAAAAGAAAATTGAAAAATGGCAAAAAGAAGGGAAAATTCAAAAGGTGGGTTTGAGATGGGAAGTTAGTGTCCGAGTGGATCGAAGTCACGATAGCTCAAGTGGTAGAACAGCGAGGTATTTAGCCGAAGATGGTGGGTTAGAATCCCGCTCGAGCCATTGACTTTTTTATCTCAACTAAAAACCTTAATTAATTGTAATTTATAATTTATGTAAAATTGCTCTTTTTCAAATAAAGTGTTTATCTACCTTGTATCTAACACAAGATAGCTTTCGATATTAATTCACACATCACTTTTTAATGCACACTTTGCAAGTAAAAAATGGCTCGTAGATATTTTTGACTTTTTATCTCATCTAAAATCCCTAATTAATTGAAAGTTAAAATTGTTGTGGAAGTCGTACGACTTGTACATAAGAGATATAAATAGTTTGTATATACATAGGTGAATACGTACATAAATTATAATTAAGTATATTGATAAATAGGGAATAAGTAAATGTGAACTTCTATAGCAAAGTAACAACAATTAAATAAGTAGACAAAAGGTGAATAAATAAATTGTTCTACGAAGAAATAAATATGCTTTGAATAAAAAAATGGATATTGTGTTTATACAAATTATTTATCAAGGGATAGCTTTTATCCGTTTTTCCTTCCATTGAATCAGGGTGTCCTATTTTCCTATAAATCTGCAGAGGAGAGTTTGGCTTGAGGCGATGTTATCATAAAATTTTTTTGGTGTTGGTTTTCACCGTCTCGTAGATCCAAGAAATTTCGGACTTTTCATGGAGTTGCTCTAACCTGATTCGTTTGCGAGATGCTGTCATTAGCTTTAAAACATTGTTCTGGATTTTTTGAATTTTTAACATATTTGATTTGCAGGTGATACTTCATGCAGGACATGCATATAACTGCATGGGGTTGACAACCACATTATAAATAAGGCGCTTGTTGCACACTGACATCCCTGATTCTTGGACAGTAGTGGGAACAAAACTCTTATAGCAGGTTTAGCGATCCTGTTTGTGTCCATTATGTGAGGGCCAAAGTGGAGTCTTCTGCCCAGAGTTACTCCCAGGTAGTTACCCTGTCGGACCATGGGATGACAGGTCCATTTAGGTTAATCGTTTCTCTTATAACAGCGCGCCTCTCTGTGAACAGAATCGCTTCACATTTTGGTACATTGATCACTAGTTTGCACCTTTGACAAAAACGACTGTTTTTTTGTTTTGTAATATATTCAGTTCAGTCTATTTGCGATAAGTGCTTCTCCAGGAGGAGGTTAGCAGTGCAATGTCGTCTGCAGTCCGATTGACATGTTTTATTTTTTTGCATAGCGTTCAGAAAGAGAATGAAAAGACAGGGTCCTAAGATGGATCCCTGTGGCACTCCTGCTGCTATGCTGTAGGGGGGTGAGATGGTTTCATTGAGGGAGACTCTGAAGGGACCCTTATTTAGGTATGAGTGATCCAGCCAACAAGTTACGCCGGGCACTCTTACCATATCAGCCAGTACACTATAGCCTCCTGCCATACGGTGTCAGAGGCCTTTTCGAAATCGAGAAAAACCATGACTTTTCTTATTAAGCTCCCAAATAGTGCAGTTCACCACCATAGCCATTTCATTTTATAACTTACAATAAAAGTATTGTGAGATTTCTGAGTGAGTTCTGCGGGGTGATTAATCTGTAAGTCGGTAGTAACCGATCATTTTGGTATGCCTAACATCGTTGGTTCTGTTCTTCAGACGCGATTTTTCGCTATCTTCAGTGTGTTACCCCGGCTATTATATGACTTTCTTGAGTGGAGCATTGTTCACAGTGGCTGCGAGAGTTGTGAGAGGAAGTCTCAGGCCTTATTTCCGTACTTCACAAAGCAAGATAATGTTTTACAACGTACAGACCATATTTATTACAAGGATCATCATGGGCTACCTTGCTTTCAGTTTTGTGCTACTTGAGTTCTGGGCGAGCCTGCTTGTCTTCTGGCATATGTACTTCTTCCTTCATATTTTGGCTGTGCTGTCGATCGTATTTCTCCCCAGATTATTAGATAAACTTTGTAGCGTCACAATTACTGGCTGGGATCCTTGCCATTATATTTGGGATGTACATAAAGCCAAGACCGGATAATTACGAAAAACGTCTGTGGTACTTGTTAGTGTTTGGTTTTTTCATAGCAGTAGTCACATTTGGCCCGCAAACATTTCACTTAATTCTATTACCTTCAATATGTTACTTCCCTATGAAATTCATGAAATCAAAATTGATGCCCTGTTATGTTTTAACAATAGCTATGTTCTATCTTTCTCTGGTACACATCCATCGGTTGTGGTATGGAGCTGTATCATTAGACGTAACAGGCCCAATGATAGTAATGACACAGAAAATAATTTCTCTAGCTTATTGTATACAAGACGGCAGTCTTCAATCACAGGATTCGTTGACTAACACGCAGAAATACTATGCTATTAAGGAAGTACCTGTCTTGCTTGAATACGTCAGCTATATATTTCAGTTCCAAACCTTAATGGCAGGACCTTTCATACTATTTAAAGACTTCAAGGAATTTATAACCGGAAGAAACTTCAAGAAATATGAATATGTCATGTTAAAAGACTTGAAGGATCCCGGTTTGTACTGTGAGCCTTCCCCTTTCATACTAACAATGCAAAAATTGATGGTTAGTGTTATTTGTGCATTAGTATTTATACTTGTCACATGCCCAATTGATAGGCTAAAAGACGAGGATTTTCTGGCAAAAGGCATTTCATACCAGATGTGCTATATAATCTTGGCCACCTCACTAGTTCGATTTAAGTATTATCATGCTTGGATCCTTGACGATGCGATATGCAACCTATCCGGTCATGGTTTCAACGGATACGATCCGATAACTAAGAAAGGAAAGCGGGATTTAACTAGTAATGTAGATGTTTATAATTTTGAGTTGGGAACAAATATTCGAGAGTCGATTGACAGCTGGAACAAAGGAACGAACCTGTGGCTCAAACTTATCTTCAGTGTGTTGTGCAATTTCTGGAAAAGAAAGTTATTTTAACTTTCTATCAGTTCATCAATGGTATATGTGACGGCGTTATTTTTATTTTTCCGTACCTATGGAGTTTTAAATATGCACCATTTTATTTTATTTATTAAATTGTTCCGGTAATTCAATATGATTGTTCGTCCGTTTTCTTCGCTTCCTTCCTTCCTTCATTCCTATAGTATTTCGACACTGTAAACCATGTATGTGAACCTGTTGTTAATTAGTGATGTTTTGAGATTTAGTATTCAATGCGTTATTTCTATATTTCAAAGTTTCCCAGCGTTCAATTTTTCGACCTTTCTGTACGTCGTATAATAGGTTCATGCTTAGATAAAATATTTATTAAAATATTACTAGATTTATTTTTTCTTTTAATATGTGACAAAATTAAACACGTATTCCCTATTTTCTTCATACCTTAGTTGATTATTATTTAAACAAACTTTCACTATTTAAAGAATTTGCACAGGATTTTTATTTTGGTTAGTTTGTTTATGATGAAATAGTATTACTTGTTACTACACTATTTATTTGTAATATCAAAAAAGGCGTATTATGTTATGCTGAAAGTTTAAAAAAAAAAATAAGCACTATAAAAACTCTCGCTTCTATTATTCAACTGCCCTTTAAGTGCTGCATATTGAATAAAAGGCTTAATCATAAATCACAATAATACATTTCTTCGTTATGACCTAAATAAAAGAAAGAATTATAAACAATAAGTAATTTAACTACTAGAATACGATAATCCGATTGCCATACACAATTTTTGTAAACATAGAACTAAAGGTTGAACTGTAACTAGTAATATTAGTAAATACGCATTTTCTCCACACTATGAATTATTAGAGGGATTGAAAGTTTAAAGGCACAGAAAAGCATAATAAATTAACATAGGTGTAGCCAATTATTATAGTAATGCCCACTGTGTGAGAGGAAGACAAATCGATGATATTATCCACTCTAATTAACAAATATATCTTTGTTTTCATAATTAAAAATAATACCTTAAGAAGCAAGAAGTAGGACACATCGTCTTTATGGGAAAAATAGAAGATTTAGCAGGGTTCATTAAAATTAAAATGAAACTCTTAAACAGTGATGCGAACTATGTCCACACCAATATACTTCGTCTATAATTCTTACTTATTCAGAAATCGTGAGATGCGGTCTGGTGTGATGTAGGTTTCAGAAAAACATTTTCTTTATCGTGCCAACGTTTCGATCTTTATTGAGATCATCTTCAGGGCCTGGGATTTACAAACATTGTTTACATATAACAATTACATTTTGGATGTGGAAAAGTGAATTTATACAATGCAAAATATATTTTTTATATATTCAATCAAAGTATTTCTACTCACTCAAAGTGTTTGTCTTCTGTGTAATTGTGCCATTCTTGCGTGTCGTGTTGAGAGTGCCAGTGAGATTTTGCTGTTTTATGTTTATATACGTTGGATTTTGAAGGGGTGGGGAAGGAAGTCGGTATAGAAAAGACATTTTTGTATAAGGCGTCGGCTTCTTTGAGGTGAAAAGAGCCGACGAAGGGAAACAATGTGTTGGTAATGGTTCGGCCAGATTATCCTTTCAGGATTATATAGAAAGGGATAAATAGGAAAAGGAAAGCTAAATTGTTGGGAAATTAGACTATGTGAAAAATATTTGATGTGTGGAATGTAATGTAATGATATATGTATGTTATATATATTGAATTTGATTAATGATTTTGACGTAGCTGCGACTGAGTTTACATGTATATGTTCTATAATTGATGCTGTGTTTATCTCTGTTGATATAAACCATTTCTAAGAAATTACGTTTATGTTTGTTTTGTTCTGTATGTAATATTTTTGGATTTTTGAAGTCGAAACATTTCTAAGAAATTACGTTTATGTTTGTTTTGTTCTGTATGTAATATTTTTGGATTTTTGAAGTCGAAATTGTGTTCGTATCCAAAATGGTGGGCGAGTACTGTAGGATTTTGCTTGGGTTTTTGCAATCATAGATGTGTTGCTTTTCTCTCTTGTCCGGATATTGGTATGTAAGGCCTATGTAAGTTGCCGGACAGTTTAAACAGTTGATCCTGTAGATTACGTCAGATTTATTTGTTATTGGTGTGGGATCTGTAAGTTTGGAAAAAGTGTTTGGATTGTTTTCTAATTTTTGAAAGCTATTTTGAAGTTATCGGACGAGAGAAATGTGGTTAATTTATGTGATAAGCCTTGAATAAATGGCATGGAAATGCATGCCGGTTTGTTTGTATTTGATAGACTTAATGTAGTATTATTCGTAATAGTGGATGGTGTTAGTGTTGAGTTGTCGAGTCAACAACTACAACTCAACTACAATTCACCATAAACCGTTGTATCTCGTGAGGTGCTTTTATGCTGTTTATATGTCATTTCTCAGTACTAGTAATTTTAGAACCATGAGATAGTAATGATATCGACATTGTAACTTTAATAAGTTCGATTATTTTTAGGAAACATATAAAAAAATAATGTTAGTAATTATTGATTTACCGTGTCAGTTGTTTGTCTGTTTTTAATTAATATTGTCGTTTAAATAAAAAAGTTTACAATTGTATTGAAATTACATCATGCCTTGTTTTTAATTTTTAATAAGACTTGATTTACGGGTAGAGCTGAAGCGAATAGATGTCATATATGGGGTGAAACTTTTCAAAATTATTCTATGATTTATATGTGTAGGTCTAGAAACGCACCTTTTAAAGAGACACGCGTTAAAATTTAGTACAGTCGTCGTTTTATTAAGTAATTTGCGCCGCCTTCATGAACGTTCTGAAAAGAAGGCGAACGGTTTTAACGAAAAGTTTCGGTAACCCGTGGGGTTGGCGGCGGCTAAGGCTGTTAGAAACGCTTTTCTTCTGTATAATGGCTAAATGGGTAATTGGGTTTCTCCCTTAAAATATGTAAATCTTGTTTTCTGAACGTTTACCTAGGCTGAGTGGGATATTGCTTTATAATTTTATCATACGTTCTCGCATTATGGGAAGACCGACGCTAAAGTATACTGTTACCGAGCCAGGTCATGAAATGGCTTTTCTAATAATTATAGCTTTAAAGGTCTTGGGAAATTTTATGAATGGCCGTTTGGGGAGTCTAATGTAACAATATTCCTTATTATTTTAATAATTCTAAGCTGCAAGAAGAATGATAAAGCCACTCTTGTAAATGATATGTCACATTGGCTATGTAAACTTGCTCTTTTGCATATTTAATCAAAGATTTTCAATTCAAACAGATCTACCCGCTTTGTAAATTAATATTGTAAATGGAAAAGCAATATTTGAAGGTACTTATTTTCATTATATTACACTAAAAAAAAACGGACCACTTGGTTTTTGCACGAAAAAATGACCAACTTCGGACATGCATATTTTCTTAGATTTTTAAGACATAGACCTGCGCTAGGTCTCCTTTTGTAGAAAATGATACGTTGACTTTTTACTTACATGGCTTTTTAAAATGTTTTCCTAGCTTTAGTCATTCATCAGTAAATTCAAAACTTCTGGAACGTGACAATTTTTGTACTTTGCATGAAAACTTCAAAGTGAGTAGCGGAGCCAGGAAATCATCCTGGAGCGACGCCCTTTAGCAATCGATAATAAATTTTAATAAGCTTACTCTTGGTCACATTCAACTTTGCACGAATTTTCAACCGTTTTCGAGTTATTCGCGATTTTTGGGGGAAAAACGTGGTCCTTTACGTGCTCATTGGAAAAACGCTCTACAACGTTTGTTAGGAGTACTTTTTCCAAAAGTGACAAGGGATGTGACAACTCTCACTTTTTCTTACTTTGACCTTTTGGGATGCGGAATGCTTCTGCTGTCGATAACCACTTGTTTACGTCATCACGGAAATTCAACTTTTGCATCCAAATTCACAGACGTTGTATGGCCGTTTGGTTTTGAATAGCGTTAGGTTTATGTATGGTAAAATCGAGAGAGAGAGTAATGGGGTTTTCCATGAACAAAGGGCAAAAATTTACACGTTTAAGAACTTTTGAATTTACTGATGAATGACTAAAGCTAGGAAAACATTTAACAAAGGCATGTTGTTCTGCGTAAAACTTTCTAAAAAAATTAGTCCTAGCGCAGGTCTGTGACGTAAAAGTTTGAGAAAATATGCATTTCCAAATTTGGCCATTTTTTCGTGCAAAAACCAGGTTGTCTTTTTTTGGCAGTGTATTTGGCATTTTCATTCGTCCTCATACTTGGTACACGAGTTAGGATCCAGAATTTTTTTATGAATGTTATGTTTTTGTAAAGTAACATTTTCGTTTGTTTTGTGTGAACGTCAATTGTTACAATTCACTCTTCAATTAGTTCTCTTAAATTTTTACACACGCTGTAACTATCAACATTTTCTTGTTAAGGTGCGGTAATACAAAATAATAGAAATAGTTAAATTTTGAATAAAACTTTAAAGTTCACTTCTTTTATCTATTACGTTTGAAATAAAGTCTTTCTTATCCAGATAATTTTAACCAAGACTCTGCAGAATATGGTCATTATAAAACTGTAAAAAAAGCCAGTCTAAAATGAATCTCAGTTCCAGGCATTAAATTTAGGCAGTAAATTTTAAAACGTATTCTAGTAATAAGAAAGAAAAAAGCTGATGAGGAAGGGTTTTTTAAAACCAATTAAACACGGGATGAACTGACTTTAATTTAATTAAAAGTATGAAAATGTAGATTATCTAAGTCATGACGAACTTGGTAGAAGTAATTTTGAAGATTTCCCAAGTTACAGATGGAGAAAGATCAGCTAATTAAATCTTCGAGATGACCTCACCTCTTTCTGGGACAGGTTCGGCCGTCCTTGGGCCGAGGCTGATCTCGGAAGATTGCCTGAAGAGTGTCCCGATCAACGCAGTACACCTGAGGGCGAGGTGGCCGTTTGGACTCATATGCGCAGGTTCTACTGTCAGGTCCAAATTGAGGATGGAGTGCTGGAGGCCGTTACCGGAATCGTACACCCTTGTACCTGGCACACCCACCTGTAAACAAAGTTAACTTTTTACTTTTTACCAATTGTTACATTGAGAACGAAGTTTCTACTGGAACAGGAAAACTTTCAACCTCTTCCGTAAAACTTGTTGAGACGACAGGTCATTTATACTGACCGAAACGTTCGGTTTCTTGAAAAAGTTTGATATCAAAACAAGCTATTTCAAACAAAATCTACTTTTCCATTAATGTACAATTGATTAACGTTTGCTTCCAAATGGAAAATCATATTATATGGCCTTTTGTCATGACAAAAAATCAAAAACAAAAAATAATTAAATTTATATATATACTTTCTTTAGTTAGCTATAAATAAAATGCTATCGTTCATCGTGATCGCGACAGCTCAAGTGGTAGAGCAGCGGCATATCTAGCGGACGGTCGTGGGTTCGAATCCCGCTCGTATCACTGTCTTTTTTATCCAACTAAAAACCTTAATTAATTGAAAGATATTAATTGGTCAAGCGGACCACAAAAACTAGTGAATTGTTTATTAATTTTTGTTTTCATAAAATCAAACCATAAATAGTCTTCATTGTTAAATTTAAAACAAAAAATAACGATTGCATTTATCGCAAATATTGATATTGATTGATTGAATTATTAAACAGTTATTACTTATTATGATGACTTTGAGCCACCTAGATGACGCAATACGAACGTAATAAGAAAAATTAATATTTTTATATGGCTAAAAAACAATGTGAATTAAGCAGCTAGGACACATTTTAGGAATATTTCATTCAATTCATTACTTTTCCCTGCTGCAGAATTATTCCCCCAGAGCTGCTTCAAAATATTTAGATAAAAAATATTTAGAAGTCTTGAAATATTTTGTATCTTCAATTTTTTATCCACCATCCTTTGTAAACGTATAAATTTATGAACTCGTTATATTCCTATCATTTCCCATTAACCAATAAGAAAGTAACGCTGCAACGAATTGCAGTATTATTCTACTTTCTTTTTTGTGCTTTCAAAAGCTTTTTTCTTAATCTTTTTGAAGAAGTTTTTCTATTTATAAAATATCATGTAACTTTCAGGCATCTGCAGTGAATATGTCATTGATTTTGCGCTAAAAATGGTTCTTTCTTCCTTTTTTAATTCATGTTTTTGACACAAACAAAACGCAATAAAACGAAAACTAAGCTCCTAGCAGCCCTGAAGACGCGATCTGAGAGTTCGTAGAAAATTCTTAAGAATTAAGTAATAAATTACTCTCATATTAGCGATTTTATGATTTCAATGAGTTCAGCAGTGTTAACAACAATTACAGTCTCGTTCGCTTTATTGGCACAAATATCGCTTCTCTTGTGCCCCGGGATATCTTACTCAAAAAGATACACAGGCCTTAATGAGAAAAAGGGTTTAATTAAATAAGCGTTCCACTTCGATGGTGGCGCCATAGGATTATTGCTCAGCCTTCAAACGCGCTCAAACTCAAGATTATCGCGCTGGGTCGTAGATTTGGATAGCTGGATGCAAATTCTTCTGATGATGAACTCCTCGAAATCCACCTACGAACTCATACTCCAGATCCATGTCACTACTCTCACTTTAAGTATCCCGAACGCAAGACTGTAACCATAACAACTTTGTCTGTCATTTTGTGCCTCAATACTCTCACCTCCTCACTAATTCCTCATTTTGATTTTTCCGTGGTACAGGCCGGTCTTATATCCTGGCTCACCAGTTGCGATGCTAGAACCTTCGGAGAGCGCTGACCCCTGACACATGCAGAAGTGGCTGTATGGTCCAGATACATTATTTACTGTCAATAAAAACCAAAGCAACCTCAAAGAAAAATTGTCATAAGACCCTTATTAATAAATAATTTCGTCTATTTCTGCGTCGCTCAAACACAACAACTAATACAAACAAGACGGAAAAAAATAACCTGCGTTCATCACTGTAAGGTAAAGGTCCCTGGTTCGAGTGGTCTACCATCAAAATAAAAGAACCCAATGAATTTGACCTAGGGTAGAAAGACCTCTCACCTCAAGATTGGAGCTTTGGATGAATCGTCTTTTTTCGTTTTCATGTGCGATCGGTACGACAATATTAATTAATTATACTTTAAACTTGTAAGTTTTGATAGATAGACAACTAATTGGAAACGACCTAACCACAGGTTTTTCAGCCCGGACACCCAGTGAAAAAATCTCCTATGGAGTTATTATATATTCCATCAAATTTTATTGTACGTTATAAATTACAATTTAACTCCATTAATTATTCTTTTTATCTAAGGTCTTGGTTGAGATGAAAAAGTTAGTGTCTCGAGCGGGGTTCTAACCCACGACCTTCGACTCAATACGGTTAAAGCAGCGGCGTATTAGCCTAATGTCCGTGGGTTCGAATCCTTCTCGTGACATTTCAACCAAGACCTTAGGTAAAAAGAATAATTGATTCAAACAAATATGGTCAATTATGACCGCTATATAAGGGCTATAATCACCTTTGTGTACAAAATATATTATATTCTCTGAAGAGACTCGAAACCAGAGATCATGGTCAGTGATTTCGTATCTACAAAGGAGATTCAGGGTTTTGTCAAACAATCATCATAGCACCAAAGCAACACGGACCTTTGGAATCATAGACTCAAACCCTAGAAACTGGAAAAAAAGAAAGAACTGGAATGTTTGGCCGCTAATGTACACAAGAAATTATGGCCATTTATACAAGCCGTGAGGCATGCAGAATGACTACTAGGGGACACATCTATTAGGAGAAAGTGAAATTCGTACTCTACAGAAAGTATCTAAAAATCCTTACATGTATATTTACATGATATGCTCCAGTAAAATACGTCTTTTAAGATGCACAATGTGGAAGAGAGAAAACAGAACAGATCCTTTACAAATGTTATGAAAGAGCAAGTAAAAAGGTTTTAAGTTACCTAAAAAACCGTTCGTGAACTACATAAACCCATAGAATACATACACATGAGCGGAATTATATTCCTTTTAAATAAAAGGAAATCTTCCAGGAAAATCGGTAGTATATTTCCGATAGAATAGATAAATATTTAAGGCCAAAAGAGCATAACACAACAGCATACTGGCAGTAAAAGAATATTAAAAAAATTATATGACATTTTCAAAAGATTTAAAAAATGAGATTCCTTCCGAATATTGATATCGGAATTCGGCATTAGCGTGTTCAAACGGTTTGTTAAATTGCTTTAAAAGGGTTGTTTAAAAAAATATGGTATGCGTGTTTTTAGCACAACCGTTCCACGCGTTTTTTCTTGATTCGTGTCCCATCAAACATAAACTAGATTGCAACTAGACATAACGTTCATGAAATTGTTACAGCATTATCCGACCTCGGGCTAAACGTAAAGAAGTTCTTTTCAAGCAAGGTAACATTCAGCTATACTACACTGCCCGTCAGACCAAGAAAAAGTTAGGTATTCATGAGATCAACCATACCCACCATGTAGGCTAAACTTTGTTCAGTTAGATTATTACTTGTTTCGATCCACAGCTAACTTTGTTCAAGGGAAAATGTATTAATTTTGCAGAAGTAGAAATTTGAGTGTACAAGTTTTTCCCAAGGGGTTGTACTAACGTGGAATCAAACAACGGGTTGAAATACACCCAATGACAGGGCATTACAATAGTCTAAATATTGAATGGTTTTATTTATTTATACTAAACAAAAAAAACACTTATTTGCTGAGAAAAATCAGACAATATTACGGTCGCTTGCATTAGGGGCATTCACGATATTTCTGTTAACCCTGTTAAATCTGTTAGTTCGTATTATATCGAGAAAAATTATGACGTAGCCTTGTAAGAATCGGTTAGTTAACATTGCACGATCTAACAGGCCAAGGCCAATGTTAGATGTCAGGTTGAAAATGTAGTCTATGCGTTAGGGCGTAGGTGACCAACGTGACAGCCATGAATTGGACAGTGTTTTTTGTTTACACGTACTTTCCTTCTTAAGTACACATTAATTAAATCAGACCAATACATTTCTTTTGTTAATTTCTGACCGGCCCTTATATTGTCATTCATAAGAGAAACATCCCCTTTTCTATTAAAATATTTATACGCTCTACAAACAAAATTAAACATCTATATAAAAATCGTAGGTCTCGGTTACTTAAAACTTGTTAAATCGGCTGCAAAACATCGTTGAAAAAAGAAGTCCATGCTTGGCGTAACACTAAGTGGAACTGCTACCTCTCTAATTTAGATCCAAAAAAATCTTTATTCTGGAAAATTTGCGAAATATTTTATATCACGTAGTAACATCGACAACACAACTTGTTCTCCGATAGTATACAATAATAGGGGTATTCACGAACTTTGTGTTAAGCCTGTTAACTTTGTTAGGTCCTGTTAGATCGAGAAAAATGATGACGTAGAATTGTAAGAATCGCCTAGTTGCTCGATCTATCAGGCCAGGGCCAATGTTAGATGTCAGGTTGAAAATATAGTCACATTGCTATCCGTTAGGGCGTACATAACCAACATGGCAGCCATGAATTTAACAGCTGTTTTTTGTTTACACGTACTTTAATTCTTAAGTGCGCATTAATTAAATCAGACCAATACATTTCTTTTGTTAATTTCTGACCTTCCCTTATACTCCCATTCATAATAGATACATCCCCTATCCTATAAAGTTGTAGGCTGTTAGACGTTAGTATACAAGGTAGGTATGCCGGCACGAATTGAAGCGTGTCATTTGTTAGTATATTTCCAATGCATAGATAGCATTTTGAATTAAAGAGATAATTAATTTTCCTTTTTTTATCAACTTCTGACATCTTACAATTTAACACAAGAGAAAACCAAAACAAACAGCAACAAGCCTTCAAGAACTGCTATAACTTTATTTTTGGTTCTACCAATCGCCAGGCGCAACATTTCGGAAAAATTAAGGTTTAACTTGCTAAGAAAAAAAGGGGCGTTCACGATCTCATTGGAGATATCTTTATTCCAGTGAACACCCAAAAAACATCGTGAATACG